TCGGGACCAACAGTTAGCGTAATGGCTATATCACTGGACTCCCACGTAGTCGACCGCGGTTCATGTCCCAGACCTGGTGGCTTAAAACTCACGCTGGGCGCGTGTGCATGTGTGCCCAAGATCCCAAGAGGAGAATGGAGGAGAAGGGATTGTGGTGTGGCCATCTCCCCTGGGCGGTGATTTCTCGCTTTCTGTCTCTCTGTCTCTGTCTGTCTGTCTGGTGAGCACAGGCGCCCTATGGAAAAAAAAACTCTCAAAAAAAAAAAAATAGAAAAGAAAATTCTTTGGCTTCGTTCCAAGTCCTTAATAAAGATTCTTACACATTTCCACTTTATCATTTCCCAAATCATGCTCAGAGGACAAAAATTACATGGGGGAGCTTGTTAAATGCAGACTCCTTTGCCCCACTCCATATTTTGGGTCATCGGGAAAGTCATGACAGATTTTAAAATCTGTCCTAATGACCTAATATATTGAACCAGAATTTCTTGGGGGAAGTCCCAGGAATCTTCACTTTTAAAGCTTCACAAATGATACTTTTGCATCCTAAAATATGAAAATCTCTGTTCTAAAACTTCAGAGAGTGTTATGGGGATTTCTAAGTTGTAGTGTCAAATATTTTTGTATCTTTAAGTAGGATAAACTTCTTGTAAATTCCATATATTTTATCAGAAAAATGCAAATTAGTCATTCTTGCGGGTCATGCTGTTTTAAAGTTCTGGGACAGAAGTGGCTAATAAGCATTGCTGCATGAAGCATAAGTCCTTCAGATTTAAAAATACTTTAAGTAGGTCACATTTTAATGAGTAAGACAAGTAAATTCCATTGTAAAAATTTTTGTGACTATAACAAGCATTGAATAGGATTTTCTTACATGGATACATTGCACGATCTGGCTGGTGATAATTAAGATCCGATCAAAATTCATCACACACAGTAAAATTTTATCAAAACTCTTACAGTTGTGAGCTTTCTCCCAAATAAACAAGCCCGTCTCCTTATAAACAGGATTTTTGTTTCCAATCCAAAACAAGCTATAAAGTCAATATACACAGATTCTTTCCCCCAGCCATACTATAGGATCTACTAACAAAGACTGTATATTTTAGAGCTAAAAGAGCTTTAGAGATTGTGAACTTCAGTCCCTCCTTTCACAGATGAAGAAACCGAAGACCAAGTCACATAGTTGATGACAAAACCAGAAGGAATACAACTCTCCTGATTGTCTACTCCTTCTACTGGAATATAGAATCAAATGATTTTTCCTAGAATATTCACTATTCTCAAAAATTCAAAGGTGGATAGGAGAAACCTTTTTTTCCCTAAGAATGATTTATTCAATTTTATTTATTATTATTTTAATTTGTCCAGCGAGACATACACAGAAAGAGTGAAAGTGTGTGTGTGAGAGAGATAGAGAGAAAGAAAGAGAGAGAGAGGGAAAATGAGAAAGTAAGACACCAAGTCCGGGATTTGAACTGTGGTCCATCATGTGAGAGTCCAGCACCTTAACCACCATGCCACCCGCCAGCCCCAGAAGCAATTGTTTTTTATATAACACATATACTATGGCAAAAAAGGAGAAAAAACTGGGGCCAGCGGATAGCATAGCAGTTACATCACTGGACTCCCACATGGCTGACTGCAGTTCAAGTTCTAGACCTGGAGGCTTGAAAATCATGCTGGGTGCATGTATGTGCATGCCCAAGATCCCAGGAGGAGAATGAAAGAGAAGGGACTGCAGCATGCCCAGCCCCTCTGGGGAGGAAAGTGATTTCTCTTTGTCTCTGTGATTTCTCATTCTCTCTCTCTCTCTCTCTCTCTCTCTCTCTCTCTCTCTCTCTACCACGGAGGTCACACGCCCTAAGGCAAAAACCTCTCAAAATAGAAAAGGAAAAGAAAAAGCTATGTAAAACATGAAACTTGAAATAAATACCATTCAACCACCTTGAGGTATTCATTCTCTCACACAATTCAGGCTACATGGTGAAAATGTTTCAAAAGCCCATTGCTACCTCAGCTTCCCTACCAAAATCTGACAAAGCTAAGAGGAACAGACGTGTGATTGCAAAGTAATCACAGATAATTACTTGATACTAACCCAGATAGATCCAGTGTGGTTGAAAGTAAACCAAGCTAGGCTGTGAAGCTTCTCTCAGATAATTTACTGAGCTTCTGTTACAGATCTGGGCCTGGTTTCATTCATTTATTCTATTATTCAACAGATATAGAGAGAGAGCACCTACTAGGAGCCAGATATTATGTACATGTCCTGGCAATACTAACATGAATAGACAGAGGAAAATTAATAACTACAGTGAGTTCTGGTATAAGCTACAGAATCAGGTGTTATGCCCGCAAATACTCGATCAGGTTGAATAGGAATACTCCCAGTAGGAAAGATACTGGACTGAGTCCTGAAGGACAACCAGAAGTTTACTTAATGGAATAATGGAAAAAGAAGAGAAAATCATTCCAAGTAACGATAACAGCACTTGCAGAGGCACTGAAGGGTGAAGTCGTGAGATGAGCAGTGGAGAAGAGGGGTCCAGAGAAGACAATATTACAGACATAAGCATTGGTTTTGTGTCATTTCACACAGTGTGGTCAACGCCAAATCATTTTTAAAACAATACATCTACCCTTCAGTAAAAGGCTACAGAATGGTAACTTAAGAGACCCTGCCATAGAAATTAGCTTCAGAAAGAAATTTGTTCTTATAATTTTTGCCTTTAGAGGTGTTAGATGCTTTCACAGCTCTGAAAATCTACCTCTTCCAGCAAGATTGCTTGGAGTTCCAGAGTCCAAACAGAGCCTTTAGAAAAAAGAAAGAAACAGTATTTTGATAATCAAATTAAGAGAAGGAAATTCTGCATCTCAACAGTTACCACAAAGAAGAAACGTTACCACTTTCCTTACCAAGGGTCCTTTGGTGTAAAGATCATATATTCATTTTTGGCATTGGAAGAAACAGTTCAAACAAGGTTCTTCTACTTACGAGTCACATATCTCTCAGGACATCACTTTTCTCACTTTAAATGCTCTGGTTTAATGTGACACTTAGACATGGCATGAGGTGGAGCATCTGTCACAGTGTTTAGTTAATACTGGGCCTTCCATTGTGACAGCTGATAGATAGATAGATAGATAGATAGATAGATAGATAGATATTAGTAGTTTCACTCATTCATTTGACACTTCTTTATTGAGGACTTACCATGTAAAAGACAACACACAAATAAATCTGAATTGGATTTTGCTCTAAAGGACCTCACAATCTATAGTGGAAATATAGGAGAGACCCAAATAGCTATACTATGAGGGAGAAAGCAGTTACTAGGAACAGAAAAACACAGAAATGTCAGGGGAGTAAGGAGGAATGAGGTGACTTCTAGTGTGGAGAGACCTGATGGGGAGAAGGGAAAGGAGTTAGAGTTAAGGATAAAGGAGAGCAGTGCTTCTGCGCTGAGCACTTCCACCCCTTCAGACCCTCTCACAAATGAACTAAGAGGTACCATAACTCACACTCTGGGTTGCAGCTGAGTGGAGCAGAATTCAGAACTCCCACCTCTAACCCAAGGCCATCACCATTAAATTGCCCTAGCTCCTTAAGTAGGGTCATCTGCAGATGAAGAGGACGGGATAGGAGAAAGCAGCAGAAAGGAAGTGAGGAGGTCTCTGGCCACTGTCTTGGGTGGAGACAGAGCAGAAACTCAGTTGGGGCCGCTATAAGGAGGCTGTGCTGCAGCGGGCAGGCTACAGAGGGTGGGTGGCTAGGACAGGCCAAGGGGGCGGAGAGAGGGGAGTGAGCCGCACTCAAAAGGCCGCCCAGGGCACTGGCCCAGCTCCGGAGTCCGCGCTCAGGTTCGCCGGCCATGGGGTGGCTGTCCGCGCTGCAGCCAGTGCGGGTGCTGCTGCTGCTGCTCCTATCGCCGCAGCTGGCTCGGGCTCTAAGCGGGGCGCGCTGCCCAGAGCCCTGTCATTGCGCACCAGGAGGCGCCCTGTACTGCCCAGGCCCGCGGGCGGGTCTCACCCGACTGTGAGTACGCGGCGCTCTAGCCACAGCCCACTCCACGCGGGACCCTCATTCGCTTGAGGTTACCCTCTCTTCCTACTCTTTTGGCCCCTTCTGCCTAGAAGCTTGGAGAAAGACTCTTCACCCTATTAATCTTCCCCATCTTTTAGGGTGTTGAAAATCCAAAGCCCGAGCTGTCTCTGCTATCCTGTGGTCTTCATCCTGGTTGGGGCTGCGGCAGGGGACGTGGAACTGCTCAGGTTCCAGCAGAAGGCCCCGCTTTGCCCCTGCAGGAAGGGAACACTAGTGTGTGTGACGCTCCTCGGTTGGCAGCGATCTCTGCCAGAGAAGTCACACAGTCTTTGAGCCTTGGGCCCTCCAGGTTGTAGGTTACCATGGACTCTGACCCTGTGGTCCTCTAGGAACAAGTGCTCTGGTCCAATGGCCAGGGGTGACCTGATCTGCTCACAGAGACTACTGGTGGGTCCACTTCCCCCAACTAGACTACATCTTAGCACAGGAGCCACCGGGCTGTCCAGGTGTGCTTGCATCTCAGTCTGGTTGAAAGACCTGGTATCCACCTTGGGCACATGCCACAAGCTCCACTCACAGGTGTGTTAAGAGAATGCATACATCATACATCAGCAAGCAGATGGTACAAGTTTTTTGCTGAAGGGATGCGGAAAAGAGGAGGGGGTGCCTTTAGTAGTGGTATATCAGAGTGTCACAAGGTCTCCTTTTTTCCATTTAGAAAAATGTACCACATGTTACGTGATACTAGTTACAGGAAATGTCCAGCTACACTGAAAATGGATTAGCAGTAGTCAGGGGTTGGGAATGGGGTAGTGAGTGATTGCTAATGGGTCACTAATGGAATTTGGGGATGATAGAATTTTCTAAAATTTGATTTGCATGATGGCTGCCCATGAACATACTAAAAATAGTTCACAGTATATTTTAAATGGGTGAATTTTATGTTATATGATTTACATCTCAATAAAGCTGTTAGGTAAGGAAAAAATTAAAACAAAACAAAGAAAATGAGTACTATAAGAGTATATGAAAGGCATAGCTGATAGAGATGATCACGATGTTCTGCTAGAGATAAAGGACTGCTACACTGGGGAAGGAAAGAGACCCCATCCCCAATTTACTTTGTGCTCCCAGTAATCTGTCAGGGGCCTATTTCATAGAAGGGATTTTCCCTCCCTCCTCCAGCTAGGCTTCTCCCTGTGAAAGAGTTAATGGTCTTCTGGAAATATTTGTGGTTGAGAGAAAGTTTTAAGAGTTGAGGTGTTTATGTTAGTTTCCAATAATTACTTTGTCAGCTCTATTCCCTGATGGGCCACTCTGACAGCACACAGAACCTGCCTTCAAGTTGCAGCCTATGTCCTCCCCGACAAGCCTCCCATGTTGCTCTTATGAAGGACTATGCCTTTCTTACTTGCCTCGTACTTATCACACAGATTAGAGGGAACTAAGAGCCAAAGGAATGAAATAATTTACCCAAGGTCTCACCACAATTGAGTGGAACAGAGAGGACTTTATCTTTTATATATTTACTTGTCTTTGTAAGAAAATTACCCCTTCTTTAATTAAAAAAAAAAAAAAAGAAAGAAAGAAAAGAAAAGAAAAGAAAAAAAATCTTCCAGCTTCTCCAAAGTTGGTATAGAGTGGAGAACCCATGTTTCTAGGGGGTGGGGTCTGGAGGAAGGAGTGGCTAACACTTTTTTTTTTTTTTTTTTTAGCTTTTTTGTCATAGGATGTATGTGCTCCCCATGAAAAGAGAGGGGGGGGAGTAAGAAGTTACCCCCCCCAGGGGGAATCATCACACTGCAATCCTTTCTCCTCCATTCTCCCCCTGAGATTTTGGATGCACGCACATGTGCCTGGTGTAATTTTCAAGCACCAGGTATGGAACTCGAACTATGGTCAACTATGTGGGAATCCGGCACCTCAACCATCATGTCACCTACTGGTCCTTAGCCCCATGTGAATTCTGCTTTTCACTAAAATCATTCAAGGCTCCTGCTGTCATGCCCATGCTGGCCTCAGGAGAGGAACCCTTCAGTGAAGAGAGTTGAAATGAAATAATTAACTAATTAAAGAAAATAGAACGCTTTCTCTTGATGTCCCACAGCTTCAAAAAGATTTTATACTGCTGACTAGGTTTAGGAGTGAAGGTGAGAAATGGGCAAAATCTAAGTATAGCCAATACAACATCTGGCAAGTCTGGTTCTCAAAAAGGAGCTAGTCTAGTCCTCTAGGCTCTGAAGCCTTTTACTGTCCTGTGGGATTCTGGAGAATACTTGATGTCTTTCTTCCACAGGCTCCACTTTCGAATCCACCACCACTGGCATCTTCTTCTAGACATTTAGATCCCTTGGCCAAGCCTGGTGACTCTCACTAGGTCACATTTTCTGAGGGCCAGATGTTTGAGAGACACCTCTTTAGGTCAAGCTATGAAAACCAAAACAGGGTAACTTTCTGGCACAACATGGAGACTCCAACATCAATAAGACAAGAGGGATAATATGAAGCAATGAGAAAGTTGTTACTTTAAGGTGCTGTTTCTCAAAGAGCAGCAGCATGAGCATCACCACACCCTCAGGCCCCAGCCCCAACCTGCTGAATCAGAAGCTCTCTGGGAGCTTTTACCAGGCTCCCTTGGGTGATTCTGATGCACAGTAAGGTTTGAGAATCATGACAGTACTGTCTATGGAAATATACTCATCATGAAGAGCATGAAGTGTTGTGTCATACACCTTCCTTCTCCATCCTCTGCCCCACATACATACACAACACCTATTCGTTGCAAAAAGGTATAAAAATCCAAATGCAGGAAGATGACTGATAAAAGGGATTGAGGAAAGATTTTTTTTTTCAAAGAAGAATACAGGAAGGAATCCACAGAAAAGGACAAACTAAAAATACCAAAGATGAGGGAGAAGTAAGATTTCTCCAAAGACATTTCCAAAGATAGTTTTTGGAGTCAGATCTCAGTGCGGGTGGGACAAGAGCATCAGTCTAACATTGTAGGAGAAGATTTCATCTTAGAAAGACTGGGGTTAGTTCTAAATCAAACAGAAAGAAAAGAATGAATGCAGGTATAACTCAATACTGAAGTGGAGGGCAGAAATGTCAATGGGTTCATGTTGAAATCCTCTTTTCTTAATGACGAATAAATGAAACTGTAAATAATCATTATAAAATAGAAAAATATGAATATAAGTGATCAGCAATTCATTAAAAAGAAATGAGCTAAAATGATAAGACTTCCAGGAGAAGAAGGATATGGTCTTCCACTGACTTATCCACAGGACTTCACTCTGCAGAGAGATGGAGCACACTCTTGGTTCTGAGGGTTGAAGGAAGCAAGTATCACAGTCACCTCAGTATTCATTATCAGTCCCTCAATGAATGTTACGTTTTTGCTTTAGTGATTTCAGGCTTTAGTAACAATGCCTTCTAAGACCTTCATCTGAAGTTTACTATTTGGTTCTAAGAAGGAGGGAAAAAAAGGGTACATAGATTATAGTTGCTCGTCACTGACAAGCTCATTGCTTGCAAAATCTAAAATGACACCATTCAAATCATTCATATCTTTCCTCCTCTTCCATATTATATTAAAAACAAAGGTATATGAAATGTAAAATGTGAGGCTAACAAAAAATAGCCTCCCACATTTTTACTCAGTTTAATTGGGAAAAAAGTAAGAGAAAAAATGATTTTAAAAAATGTCCTTTCCTTTTTATTAGTTTTAGGCAACTGGAAGGAGAGAGAGAAAAAAAGAAAATCTCACCTTGCCCATGGTTATTTAAAGATACTTGTCTCTATGACAACAGAAAGGTTGATCTGCTTGATATGGAAACAGCTTCTGAAAAATCTGTTAGTAAGGACATGCTAATAATAATTATGGCAATTTATTTTGTGCATGTTGTGCCTACTGAGCAGAGATTAAACTTTTAGACTTTATTATAAAACACAATCCAGAATCTTTGGAATGACAAAATGTGCATGTCTATCAGTCTAATATCATAGGAAGATGTCTCTTGATTCCTTTCCTGAATGTCTTCCTCTTCCTCTTACCATCTGTAGAAATCAAGGTCATGACAGTGCTCAATGCTGTAGAAGGAAGCACATGAGGAAAGTGTGACGCCTGTCCCTGAGAAGGCCATAATATAGGTAGAAATACAGCCCCAAGAAAGGCCCAATCACCATGGCCTGAAGTCTCGAAGGGAAGGCTTCATGGATCAAATGTTAGGAAACTGAACCTTGAAGGAGAGAAGGGAAGAAAAAGCCAGATGGAAGAACTACTGGTCAAAACAGACTAGAGATTTCTTGCTGAGAAGAAAGAAACTATTTATTTCCTCTTGCCTCTTGCCTCTCCCATACTTTCTGGAGGGATGTTTTTTTTTTTTTAAATGGGAAGACATGAAGAGATAA